CTTTGGTGTGGCGAATATGTTCCAGTGAACAGGAGCCAAGTATGAAGTCTTTGATATGCACATAACAACTATTTGAAGCCCGCTTATAACCATGTGCATACAACTTTTAAAGGTTTAAACTAAATTTCTCAGCCCGGAATGCTTTCGAATGGATCTCCAGAGGGAGAGAAGTGTGGTGACCGTTGTCTTTTATATATCTTTAAATTCTATAGAAACTTGATGACAGAACCCAATTAGTCAATATCTTTAAAAATATGTTTTTCTGTTCAAATGAGAAAAAGAACTGAGTGAATTCGGAATCAGGTATTAGTCTGAAAACAGTGAGCTCTTTAGTTACCTCGAGTCGCCCTATAGATCATAGCTATGATTTGTTGTCTACCAAATGTCAAAAGAGAGCATATTGACTCCTAGACTTAAATAATGCCTGTTCAAATCATGTTCAAACTTTCTTTAACATGACTAAGTTTGTCAAGCAGTTCATGCCATAATCCCATCTAAGAAAGCTAACGTATTGTGCCGATTCGATCTCAATTATTGTGTAGCACGATCTGCTCGTTAGTTTGGTTTGACTAATTGGTCAAATCACTTCAGTGTCATTTGTGGGTATGAGTCCCCGAAAACTAATTTTTTACGGTGAGATAACTTCATGGATTTTAGATCGAGTGGTATGAATGGGCTGCTTATTCGTAATATCGCCTAGATCATCTAAATCTATGAAACTCGCAGGAATGCTTAGTACTTATAAGAAAGCCATTGAAGTTGAAATTACCTTAACACTGCACCGTCTAGCTAGTATGACTTTATAACCTTTTCATGCTTTACGTGATCTAAAAATAGAGGAAGTACGTTGTGGCTAGTGCATTGAAACCTGATCTAACATTACTGTACACGGGTGTTTGGTAATGTCCAATGGGTGACAGTCTAGACAATCGACTGCATTAAATCTAGTCAGTTTGGTAGTTATTTGTGGACTCGTATATTTTGTGACTCAAGTGAGTTCGTCTACTTCAAGGAAGCATAAATTCTGGGCATCACTAGCTATCAAATTACCAGACAAGAAGTGCGTCAGAGACAGCTGGTTCAGGCAGAGGATGATGGTCAGTGGTTGAGTAAGTACTTGTCAAGTCTCCTCTTGGTTCTATTTACTGAAGGGGAATTGGTTTCCTCGGTTTGTGAATCATTCAAATCGGAAGCAATTCTTTATCTGATAAAGTGGGGGCGTACCTGAATTTCTGCTGTTTGATGAATACCTGTTTTGGGGTTGTCTTCAGAAGCGCAGTGGTGATGTCTTCGTGAGGTGCTCATGTCGGGGCAACTTGTAGTACATAATGTGTTCTATCTCATAATCAGATCACCCCTTATTCTCTTAAAGTTCGGAAACAAATGTCCTAAGTTTTGGAGTCTGTCCTCATTAGACTGATGTTTTAGACATACTAACCACTTAGTTCTCCATCTGCACCTGACCTAAGAGATAACGCCTCTTCTGAAGACAGGGAACAACGACGTTGAAAACATCTATGTGGGGCTTTGCGTACGTTCTAAAGAGCTAGGAAAAGCTCTAGGGTGATTACGCTAAGTTGTCCTCATATAAAGCGGCTAATTGCATTTGCCTAGGCTGTGTCCGCTATATAATTTGAGATCATGTCTAAATTCTCTGTGATAACAAACCCAAACCCAAACATTTTGATTGAAAATCATTCTATATATTCCTTTATCTTCGTAACTTTATTCATGCTGTTTCAAAGAGACTGGTATTTTTCTGGATTTTTTAATTTTTGGCGTGTCCACACCAATAATTCTGCATCACATGAGTTTGTTTCAGCTAAAGTTCCAAAAAAAACTATCCTTTGCCAAGTAATAATATGTTTCTCTAGTTTTTTTAAACTGCTTGAACTTAACGTTTTATCCGAAAACCATTGTTTTATTTAAACTCTTTTCCTGTCGTGGTTCATCCAGTTTTTTAGAGTTATCATCCAAGATTTTCCAACGTCTATGGGTTATGGTAAAAAGGTGGTTGCCAATGTAGCGGTAAATAAATCCCCAAAATAAATAGCCCTGTAACTCTTCGACATTGGATGCCGACCACATTAGTTCTAACGGACTCACCTAGTTGAAGGCGCTCGGTCAGGCATCCTCACCAGATCACGAGTGGAAACGCCGTGCTCAACAACCCCTGAAATTCCTAGCCAGATTAGATCAGTCGATTCATGATACATTGATAGCCAACCAAATATATCTTCGAGCCTCCTCGCTTCTGTCTTTTGATTTCACTTGGTGGGTACGATATATATTAGGTGTTAAAGCGTTGTCAAACTCCAAATACCTATGGCGTCTTTCCCACCGTTCAATTATTCTGTATTTAGTGTAGAGCACTATTCACTAAGATAAATGCAAAGGTTGTCGTGAAACCCTTACAAATCGTATGCCTCGAGAATTTGAAAGTTTTAATAAACCAGGATAATCTTGCATATGTCAGCAATGCGTTTAGAAATTAATAGCTTATCTTAAGGAGCTACGATGGCAGTGCAGTTGAAAAGAAAGCGCAAAAGTGAAGGAAACATCACTGATGTACATAGCCAGGTATCATTCGACAGTTTACATCCCTCCGATACTGTAACAAAAACGTTGCTGATTCTATACGTAAACCATAGTATATGATGTTTTGAAGATTTCGCGATATCAACTGTTGATAGGAACAAAGGTGCAAATAGGTAGAAACCTCATTATGCACTGAAACCGGTATCTAATCTGCCATTACTGAAAGACTAACTTGTGGAAGTGGAACCTGTGAACCAAATGGCTACTCCCAGAAATATAACGGGAAAGTCATTTGTTAATCTAGTTTACCTCAAGTTAAAGTGCAAGAGGAACGAAGTTCCACTGAATAGATCCAATACTCGATTTACTTATGGGTGACTTAATCCTGACTTGCACATGTACGGGCTACAGACTGGAAAAACCTAAGGATGTGTGTCAGATTGCCTAGACGATATTTGTTAGTGAATAAAGTTTACAAAAGCTGAGAACACCGACTAATATCTAACGTCGACTAACAAGTGTGACTGCAACGGCTTTACCTTTACAGATCGAGGGCATTAAGCTCACGGTCAACAGTAAACTTGGTACAGAATAAAAGATATCGGTATAAAGCTTTGAGGTTTTCAGATAGACCGGCCTAACATAGAAGGTTTGGTGATTTCAATCAATTTTCACGGGTATTTTTCCTTATTTTTTCGTGGGCATAATGCTCCCTGTTTTCCTTTACTGAATGATGAGGCGTCTGTGTTTGATTAAAGTCAACCCACACTCCGCTTGCTCCACTTCATGCTGTGATTAACGTTGAGACGAAGCCATTCAAGCTCTCTGTGACTTCAAGGCTTAATGATGCAACAAAGGTGTATCCTACAAATCCGCCGAGCAACAAATGTACAACTTGCTAATAAATAATAGTTACAACACCAAGCATATTATCATAAGGTTAAATGGTCATGAGTATTAAGTAATATATTAATGAGGTTCGGTCATAATGTTTCTGAATATAGTGCTCCGAAATTGTGTTAATTGATAAGCTTTACCTCAACGAAGCCTCGGTTATGACGGATCAGACAATGCAAGTCGATTTGGCTATTTCAAAAAAATACTAATTATATCAAAATCCACTTCAGCGTTGGGAGCTGAAAAACTCGTCCGGACGAAATGTAATTGACGCCATAACCTCATATCCCTTAGTGTGGTAGTTAAAATACTATGAAAAACTAATCAAAAAGACTATAGTGACCTTTTTGGACGTCACAACTTGTTAGACAGAGAACAACATGGTTTCAGAAAAGGTTCGCCTTGCACAACAAATCTTTTTATGGCAAGTGAGCAATAGATAGAGGCTCTAGATAATAGAAAATCAGTGGATGTTGTCGACATAGACTTCAGAAAAGCACTCGATAAAGTATCAAAAGTAGACTATTCTAGAATCTGAAAAATTTAGGCATTGATAGACCTTTCCTAAAATGGATTATGGATTCCTTGGTAGGTCGTACACAGATAACAGGAATGGATTCCAAGTGCTCTTCCTAGAAACCAGTATTGATGGATTTTCATAAGGCTCTGTCCTAGGTCCGTTACTTTTTATATTGTACGTCGATGAGAAATAACAGGAGACCCAGATTCATGTGCACCTGAGACAGACTCTAGTATTCTGATTAACTGGTCGAAGAAGTGGGTGATGCCTATTAACGCGACCAAATGTGTCTTCATATACTTAAGGGATGCAAAGGTAGACAGGTACAGCATGGGGAAAGTGCCTGTACCCGTAGTCTGGTCACACAAGGATCTTAGGATGACGGTGAACACTATCAGCTGATTACTTTTATAGCATGAAAGCATAATGTTTCCTCTGTCACTTCAAAAAGATAAGAATACTATGACGCGTACTAAAGGGGGTTTAAAAAATCAGTTCATGCGATTGAATTCAAGCAGTAAGTTCCTAGATTTTTACCCTTTAGAAAATAAGCAATTCGTGAATGAATTTTTTATGACTTACATAATCCGAGGCACAACTGGGTATCCTCTAGAGGTTCTAGTTAAGTTCTATTTGAACAGAAACCTTGATGGCGATGACCAGAAACCCGAGGTGCAATACAGCAAACTGGAATGTAATCGCAACGCCCCCACGAGTCTCGGGACTCAGTCTTCCGACTTGGTCCAAGGCACTTTTTTAAGGAGTCCCTAAAGAAGAAACTCAATACAACACTAATTTACTGATCTTTTCCTTGCCTGAGTTTGTCTCATATGAGAGGTTTCGGTAAACTGTTACTATTCAGCAAACGAGCTCATCAAGCGAAAACCGAGGTTTTGGAAGTAGTGAGATTATATGGAAAAGAAAACAACAATAGAAAAGTGAGCAGGAAGCTCAGCTAACACAAAGAATGCACTTACATCTAATAACGTGAGTGACTAATAACAATCAGAAATAACATGTGCAATCTGATAATTAAAACAAGAAATTGATAGTGAAAAGTTTCGAACGCATTGCGCTACACTCTGTGGTTGCTTAATGGCGAAGGTTAACATTTGTAATGTTGAGGTTCTGGACAACCCTGCTTCATTCTTTGATCCATTTAAGTTCCGTATAACATTTGAGTGTCATGAACCTCTAGATGATGGTGAGCCCATATACCTTTTTAATGATCAGTAGTAGCACCAAATTGTTAGTTCTCTTTGCTTTCTTCGTCATGAAACTAAGTTGATATCTAGTATAAATTAAATCCAATCCGTGATTATCTCGATTTTATGTAAGCAAGTAGTGCAGCTAATCAAATGAAACTTTTCGAATTATTTCTGCCATCTAAGCATTATAGTTCCCAAAAGAGCCGTTTTCATAACACTTGAATCGCTAGGTGTGGTTTGTGAATAAACGCAGGAGGCTTTGTATGGCAACAATCAGATTAATTTTGTGTATGCAGATGTTTTTGAACCTTTCGTAAGTTTCACTCAACACAACAATTAGTGCCACTGGTTTCCCAAACTACCCTTTCGTCTGGTGTCAGTCGTATTTGTAAACCCCGTAGTAATAGTTAATCTGTTACCATACCTGGAATCTTCCTAATAATCACTTTAATCCAACATCATAATTTGACCGTATACTGTCTGTGTTATGTACCTGTGATGCAACTAGTCCCCTGAAGCAATAATTAGTGCCATATCCACATCTTACCTGGAGATTTTCAGTAAAATTTAAACTATGAGAAATCGAACTACAACAGTTCAACATAACCGTTAATAAATCATACGGAACCTAATCAGATAGTGGACAGTGAGAAGTTCATCGAATAAGTAGGATATTCTGTGTGAATACTCGTGTATAGCTATTTTTGACCAGACTAATCTACAAGTGTAGTTTGTCAGATTAAAATGTGTGTACTGATTTCATCAACCACTTGAAATCTAAGATACCTAACAGAGGTAAGTGTCTTAGGTTAGCACACCTGTTTTCTTGGTTTTGTTTACACCTGATCCCCCAATTTTGATTAGTAAGGCAATTTTTAAACCATTACTCCATTTGTCACTTGCTTGATCTAATAAGCCACACTTCATGGGGTCAGATGCTAATGAGTTAATAGATATTCCATTCTTCATGTTTTCTCAATCAGTATTCCACTTTTAAATATGCTCCTTGGTAATTGGCTTTATTAGAAAAATCAAGTACTTCCACATTAATTCATATTACCGTTAGTGTTTTTCATTGACTTTAGATCTAGAATGGAAGTTAGTGTATGTTAGCAGTGCCTACAACCCAGCTTTAGACCAGACATTGGATTCCATCTTAGTTGGTCCAATTCCAGTTGGTCGTCATCAATTTTCTTTTGAGGCTAATGCTCCTGATCCAAAAATAATTCCTAATGAAGACATTGTTGGCGTAACAGTTGTGCTTATACAAGCTTTGTACAGAGATAAAGAATTTATACGTGTTGGTTATTATGTTAACAATGAGTACAAAACAGAAGAATTACGTCTTGAACCGCCGGCTGAACCTTTACTTAACGAAGTACGTTCACTTGAATAAACAGTTCTCTGTTTGATTTGTTCATCGCACCTTATATGCTTGTTCATTTTCATACGTAATCATTATCTGATATAGTTTTATAGTAGTACAGATTTTTTACTCACTATCTGTAAAGTTTTCCCTAAAGGAAGCATCTCTATTCGCTATTTCGTCCTTCGAAAACAGTGATAGGCAATCTATTTGCATATGGGACAGTTACCTAATTTCGGGTCCATGGTTTAATGTTTATGCCGCATGTACTAACCCTTCCACTTCTGTTTGGGCAGCTGGGCTGTATCGTCACCTCACATATACTTCTTAAAAGCCAAATACATTATTACACCGAACAAATGAAATCCAGATAACTATCATTAAAAAAAATTTTTTAAATGGTCACGGACAAATTCTAAAATAGGCTTCGAAACTTTTTCATGATCTTAACTTGTTTTATAAGGATTAGTTACCTACCATTTGAGCATGAATCCAGAAGGGTGCAAAAGATTGTGTTGAACTATGACCTACATTTATGTATATTCTGTTCCTTCCCACAGCCTAAGTGTAATATTGCAGGCTGGATCTGGCACTAATGTGCATCGGAATAACTTCTTTGAAAAAGGGACCCAATTGAAAATAAAAAGTATGAAATTATTCCAAAAGTTAAGATTTAGAGGATAAAGACTGAATTCACTCGCTCAATTGCAACTGATCCGGAACAGAATAACATTCAGTGACTATAAGTTATTACCATCTTGATCTGAGCACCTCTGTCTTATTTCCAACCTACTGCTATGCCAACCCTCAATGCATGCTTAACACGTCTCAACCACTTTAGTCGATTAAGGTTTACAACCTCACCCCCCATTCCTGTGTATAGCCTCAGTATACATCACTATACACAAACAGCTCTCGAAGATATCTGTGATCAGATACCTGTGGCCTGTCTATATAATTTCTTATGGGCCACTCTTCATAGCCGTAAAAAATATTGAGTACGCTGTTGTGCGGTATCAATACCTCTTTAAAGACAAACGGATATTGTACCTCATATACAAGTCGATAAATGCCAAGTGACCATTACATTCTCGTCTCGAGATTCGGTCAGTCACGAACTCATTAGAACTTCTGAGGTAAGTGAAGTCATCAACCCACTTTTAATACTTCACTCACTAAGATCAAACTAGACTTCGACACGTACTTGGTCATGAAGCAACATTTCACAATTAGGAGAACGTATCGCAAACATTCTTGATTGTTAATCAGGGCTTCAAAGACTGGATCTTATCAAAATCTTTATCTTTCTAGTGAGTCTCTGACTATTAAGTCAATTCATAAAAAGTCATACATTTCATTTTTAGGAATGTGCAAAAAAATGAACAAAACGTGAGAAAGATGAGCAACCTTTACGAACATCACTTAATGTAGTCAATTCAGATCATAATTCTCCAAAAGCTAACTCGATCGAGAGTATTTGAGCAACAAACCTTAGATCGGTCTATATACCCTTTTGATATTCCTTTCAGTGAAAGACCACCAAAACTGCCTTGGTTTACTGGGTATGTTTCTACCTGGAGATCAAAGAATTGGGTTACATCCGGATGTTGATATGTAAATGTGTGCTTTAAAACCTGTACGGAATCGCCAATCGGACTTGTATTATCTGTGGTATGAGACTCACGAGCGCTGTGATCTAATGCTGATTATTTGTTGTTTTTGTTAGTTCCTACAATTTTGGACGTTAAATAATCATGACTAATTGAATGAAACTACACATGGCTCCTATATCACAATCATTACATTTTCCAACCTAAGTAGTAGTAATTTCTACACCTCAGTAACCAACTGTAGATCCACGTACTTAGTTTAAGGCACATGATGTAAGGTCCAATAATACCATGGAGATGTCCAAACTAAATTGGATGGAACTAGCGTTTGGACCTATAACTCAGTAATTGAAAGTTAAGCGTACCGACCAACTTAATCGATCAGCTCGGGACACTTCACGAACACAATAGTGGACTATGTATGCTATTCTGATAGGTTTTTAATCTTCGGAATAAAGTGAGTTAAAATTTGAGAACTGCATATATGTCAAAAGTATAATACCTATCAATTGGAAAATATACAAAGCATGCTTTCTCAGTCATAACTATGAACATGGGTGACAACTAGTTATTTCTTTTCATGATTTTTCGGTACAAAAGTATAAATGGAGCTAATAAGAGCAACCCTAACGAATTGAAGTATATTTTGACATCTGTAAATGCATAGAAAAGCTAAATTTATAATGTTCTATCTAAAAATTTTGTGACGCTGATGAACATAATAACAATGTCTGATTCTTGATATCCTTATTATTACGTAAAAAAAAACAAATTGGTAACGAGTCCCCACTCAATGAATATCTTCTATAACCTAGTACATGAAATTAGAAGTAGTTACTGGTTTGCGCTATCGCTCTGAATAATTGGTATCTCGAAATGTAATTCTTCACTGTTGCCCTAATTTCGAATTTCATGAAGTTGAAAACATGTGTTTCTTTATGTTTTCTGTCAGGATACTTCTGGCATAGTTTCTCAAAGCTACAAATAAGGGGACAATAAAATACACACAAATTGCATACATCTATGTCTTACACCATTTTAAATTCTAAAACTTAGTCAACATAGTCTGCCTTTGCACACAGCTTTGATCATATCGCCAACCTTTAAATCTAAAGCTAAAAGTTTTAGCTGAATCAAACATTTTTGTTCGTATCAACGAACTAAGTGACAACAATGGCTCGGTAAATTCTATACTTAGCTTTCAATCATCTCTCCAATCCTTACTCCACATATTTTAGACAAGGTAAGTAGCTTAATAGACGGAAAGGTTTTATTTCAACAATTTCATTTAATTCGACAATATCAAATTGTTGATATATTGACTACTTTCTTTTGAGCCGCTCATTTTGTAATGATGATTTGCTATTACTTTCCAAACAGCCGAAGATAAATTAAGTTGTATTAAGAAATTCATTGTTATCACTGTTAGATCAGGTTTACAAATCTTGTAGAAAATCTTCAAAGTTCATGGGGGAATTTCTTTGTAAAGACCGTATATGACAGAAAATGTTATACGCATCCCGTACATTATTTTTAGTAGCATGAACACCGACATAAACAAGTTTACACACAGACTGAAGCTAACTCATAAGTTACTTGTATTGGCATATTGTGCTTTCAAATGGTATTAACGAAAACTCGAAAGATGGTACCAAAGTAAATAACACAAAATATTCTCACTGTTTTCTGTTTATGACTTGCGTAGTTGATGCGGTGTATCAACAAGTATTCAAAACAAAGAGCTTAGAAACTATCTATTAATAACTCATAGCACAGTGTAATGAATTAGTGGGTCCGTATGTACTCATTTACTAGGAAATTATCGAATAAACCAACTACTTTTGCTATCTTATAAGGATAAAGATTTGCTAGCTAGATATTGCTTCACCTTGTGATAAATTCAGTGCAATCTTAAATAGAAAACATTTAGCAGTTCTGTATCAATTAAAGACTTTCAAAATATCGTTCTAGAAATTATATTATCTCTCTGTGGTTCCCATTATTTAACCATTATCAGCCCACCACACAAACAGATAACCTAAAATTTATATCTTGGCTTTCGTTGTTGTCATTACGCAGTTAAAATGTATGGACTCGTGTCTAGTAGTATGCTTACTTAAATTCTTTTGATAAGAAAGCTTTCTTAAAATAATGTGGTAAACAACTGTTTCAATTGTTTGAATTCTATTTTTTTCATTAAGTTCTCATGAATTTATCATAATTTCCAGCTGGAACGACATATAATAGCTTCAGACCCTCGTGTTACTCGCTTTCCAATTGACTGGGGTGATGGTCTCTTAGATGGGTGCCCAGAACCAGAACAGCCTACAGAAGATAACGAAGAGTCTAATTTACTGGGTAATGAAGAACAAGTGGAAAATATTTCTCAACTGGATCAGGAAAATGAGGATCAAAATAAATTGGAGCCATCTAGTTTTTGTGAAGGTCAGTCTGGTGTACAGTTTATAGAAAATACATCGTGTATGCCGCTCCATCCTGTCCAGTCATCAAATGTTCCTGTCGACACTTTCTGAACTCCTTGATAAACATTACTCTCAAGATTGCATTTTATAATAAACTTTTATATCAGAATGTATCACACGTCTATGGTGATATTGCTGTTGAATGTTCAACTTGCTATATTAGGTATCGCTCTTTTTTATGCCTACAAGATTTATTACGCTTTATATTTTTCTAACTGTACAATTGTTCGATGTACCTAATAACATTCTAAATTTATTCCTTTGCTTTTCAACCGTATTGTGAATAGTGGTTTGTCTGCTACATTGTTGAAATACTGGGAACAGTAGACAACCATATATAATAGAATAGGATGTAAACCTGTAGACTATAAATAGGAAGGAATTCGATAATTTCATTTATCTTCGTATTTATGTCAAGGATAAAAAATAATGTTTAACTCCTGGTGAAGGCTGACCAGATCATAACACACTATCAACCTGAGTCATTGACTAGTGATCTAAATCATTTAGGAAATGATAAGCTTCCTGACTGAATCAGTTAATTTATCCTTAATTTGAGGCTTGAGGTATTTTACCGTAAAACACAAAATCGACTACATTAGCGTACTTTCTATTAAGTATAAGTCTCCTATTACTGAGTACTTGTTATCTGTGTTCACACTTCTCTTTAATCGCTTGACTATTGAAGGGCTCACTATATTCACTCTTGTCATTTAATTAATGTTTTTGACCATTATGTTAATGCAAAGTATATCAAGTTGACGCGGCCCGTACGCTTTATATTTATGTATCTGCATTTTAACCCTATTCCCATGGATCCTAAGGTATGATATGTCCAAACGTTAATTTATGTGGTGCAAATTTAGACCAATACAACTGGTTTCGTAAATAAAATGTGTCTTCCTGTCCAAGACAAATTAACGCTAAAAACAAATCCCGTTTCTTACTATCCTACGTCTGTCAGTAAGAACTGCAATTTATTTATTTGAAAACATAAACATTGGCACTAGGGGGCACCACAAAATAATGAAATTGTGAATGTAAAGTGCATATAATAAAAGAAGAACAACAACGAACAGAAATTAGTGTGTGAGAGTGAAATAATAACAATAGTGGGGAAAACGGTTCGGTTAGGAAAATTACAACCAGAAAGAATTCTTTCAGTTAAACAAGTTACGTTCATTTTTCTGAAGAAAGTTATAGTAGGATCGCCACTGGCTTCTATACTGAGCCATTGTCTGATAACGTCCCTACCCACTATGTTGCACCATCTCTAGAAACCCAACTAGAGAGTCGTGAGGGACCAACAGAAACCAGTCCTGTATATCCTTTCTTGTCACGACACTATGTCATACACTGACCACCTCCGCTTTTTCCAACCAGTCCCAGCGTCGACCAATAATACACGACGTGGGATTTTCTGGGACGACATTCGTAAAACCATGTCCAAGCCACCGAAGTCGATGTTTCAAGATGGTGACACCGATTGGATTATCGTCACTGTGCCCGAACACAAGATGTTGAATCTCTGCATTATTAACATGGTGTTGCCATTGTATGTCAGCAATCCTTCGCAGACAACTATGATCAAACAAAGAGTCGTCTAAAACCCCTAACTCGGAGAGGCCAGGTCTCACAAGCGTAGAGTCAAACTGTTCTCACTGACGCGTTGTAGATCAGACATTTTACAGCCAGAATAACATCACGAAAGCGCCAATGATGGCCCAGATTGATATAAGCCGCTCTGCCTTTCACTATACATGAATTGGTCCCATCACTCATGCCATTCCGCTTCTCACCAGTCAATCTTTCTTGGGTTTTGAACAATCTACGAAGTATGACGTAAGCCAATAGTTTAGACGCAATCGAAATCGAATTGTCCTCCGATAGCTGTTGCATAGATAACGTGAACCTTATTTTTTTAAATAGGAACAACTATCGACTGATTTCATGATGTCGGAACACTCTAACTTCCATGTCTTTGTAAATAGCTCTGTCAGTTCCTTAACGAGGTCACCACCGTTTTTAAAAGGGACCGGAGGTAAGTCATCTGAACCTGGTGATTTGTTGCGCTTCAAGAGTTTGAGTTCCATGCTTACTTCCACCTTGTTGAGTGGATCAGTTGTCATAGGGCATCGAGGTCAAGACAGTCTGATCGATGTTGCTGGACCAGCAGACCAGTTTAACTGCTGCTCGAAAAAGTTTACCCATCGTTCAAGACATCGGCACATGTTAGTGGTTGATATCCCATCATTTTCGTAGTTTGTTTCATTCACACCAGAATTCTTTCTACCAGTGACTCGAATGAGTTGAAAAAGCCTCCGGCAGTCACCGGAAGCAGCTGCTGTTTCCAACTCGTTAGCACGTTCCGACCACCAGGCTTCTCAGTCCTTACGCAAGCTTGCACAATCTCATAACGTACAAGTCTACGATTATGGTCAAACTCACGGTCACCCTAAATAGACCGACGGGCTTAAGTGAGCTGTAAGAAGCCTACAGAAACCCAGTGTTCATAAACTGGACGTTTCGCGAAGCCGCAAGCGACATCACTCTCCATTTTTATGACATGTAATTTGAACCAATGCTCATTTATACTTTTCAGCGGGCTGGAAGCTACCCTTTAACCTAGCTCGGTTTGATATTTAGTCGCAACAGAAACTGAAATCGATGTTGCGATTTTCTAAATACATCGCCAACCCTATCTGTTGTCCTATCCACATTAGTGTGCGAGTCTCGAAGGAGACCAGTTTGAATGGTGTATGTGGTTTCACAAAGACTGTTTCAGTGTTCGTATTCGGTGGTAGCATTCAACTTTCGACCAGTCGGTGATTTGAGATCATTTAGATAGGACAGGGTTTTCAACATAGGCGAGCTGCTGTATAAGTTGGAAAATAAAATGCGCGAAATGAGAATAAGGGGTAGTATATAAATGACGCGGTATAAAAGGAATAAAGACGAATGTTGTGTGGTTGTGAATATGATTTGTCCGAATGCGCGTTGAAGCAAGAGTAGTTTTTCTAGTAGTAATTATTATTGGTTTGTATGGGGGCTTTGATACCGCCCGGTTGCCCCTGGATGGATCAACCCGGTTAGAGCACCGGACATTCACTTTTCGTCCTTTTAATTTCGTAAACAACACCCCCACTTTGAGAAGGTAGTGGGTAGGACTTCCCTAACAGTGGCTGTATACGCGTGACCGTGTGAGAGCAGTTCGTGAAGGAGAGCAGACTCTTCACCCTGGACCATACCAGGGCATTTAGGGGCAAAATTGTGGAGTCTGCTGACCCGTAGTCAAGAGCGTTATCCATTGTGCCACAGAAGTGCTTGAAGATAAACAGTTAATCAACTATCCTTGGGTAGTTTGAAATGACATCTAATGTTTTACAAGTTGAATATTTTATTTTGCTTTAATTCAGCTCGTACACTTGAGATATTAGTGTCCTAGGTTTCTTAACTGTTACAGTGGGATATTGTAGTCGTTATCTGGAATGTGTGTTTCTCTAAACGTCCTTGTTTCTTGTTAGTGAACAGCATTTTGTTGGGTCCTTTATTTTTTTACGGCAGAGTGCGATATGCAACAGATAACTCATACCTTGCCTAACTACCAGTCTAGTCAAACAGGAAATCTACTGTCTAATGTTAGTTAAACATTCAAAGTGCAGGTCCTTGTACTAAGCTCTGAGGCACACTTGTATGGGGTTTAACAGTATTGCTAAGCTACCAAAAACGAAATTGTTGGCATGAATACCGGACATAATGGTTAGAAATTGGACACATACTGTTGAGATATATGTTACCTATCTTCGCACGCGATGTATGACGAAGTAACAGCAAGGTAGAAAGTATGTTAATGTAAATATTGGGGTATAACCAAGTTGTATATTGACATGTTATTTGGGGGTTTGAATATCTACAGGTTCATTCAACTCAAATCATACCAAGATAGAACAAGCTTATTTCATTTTCAATTATCACGAAATACTTCTTTATCTGACTGGAGTATGGGTTAGGTCTAAAGAATCCTACCATTAAAGGAAGTCAGTAGAAGATTATTACTCTCCAAACCATGTTCACCTGTTATATGACAAGTTTGGGCAAAACAATTTTCACTGAATTGAACAGCACATTAGATCAATCCAAATGTGTTTCTAGGATTATATAGGTCAGAAACCTACTACATTCCATACCTTGTAAGTAACAAGTGTAATATTCGAAGCTATATACAGTAGTAACCAAATATAAATTCCCCCTATTAGTAAATTCGCGTACCATGTTTTATTTGCTACACTGAATGCATATGTTCATATATTTTTCATCTGGCCTTCTCGATTCTGATAAAGCTTTACTTCATCCTAGTTTCAAACCGTTTCCTTAAAACCAATTCTGTAACATATGTTGTATCTTTGATTTCTGAAGTGTCAAGTTATGGTGAGATGCCTCGAGCCACAAAATTAATAATTTGTTGACAATTTGACAGACTTGAATTGGTATTAGCTACTAATTGTAAAATTTAATCTTCTACCTAGTTTAATGTAATTAGCACTGAGTGTTGATGGCTATACTCCTTAATTTTTATCGTAGCGGCATCATGTTTTAGGTTGACCAGGTATTGACATTCTTCATTAACCATTCACAGCGTCATTTGGTTTTCTTTTCCAATATGTGATGGCAGTCTCGTTCGAATACCGGTCTTCGTGAACGATTGAGTTTCAAGAGCAAATAGTAAACATTGAAGCTGGTCATAATGCAAAGCATGTAATTTGAATCGTTCGGACTGAAAGTGAGCTCTCTCGGCTTATGCAAGGTAAACATCGGTTTTCATTAATTGGAGATAGTTATACTGGTTATAGAATCAGGATATTTGTTTACAAAATATCTTATTTAAGATCCCGATAGTTTCACCATAACTCATATATTCACGAGTATATTTTGGTAAGATATAATTTCCATACTTTTGATGCTCATGGGATCCAGTTTTGTAATAGCAATCGAACCTCCTCTTCAACAGTAGCAGCATACTCTACTCGGAAAACATCTATTCAGCCAAACCGTAATTTGAATGTGATCATTGTGCATCAAAATCAAATCCCTGGATTGTACGAAGCGATGATTCTATATCTTTCTGCTCTGGCACAATTGTGGACTAAAGATGAAATTTTGCCGTTAATTTTCCAATTCACCGTTCTTGAAGAGCCTGTATTTGTACTCCTGAGATAGTGGTAACTCTATTTGACCAAATAAAACAGTCATCTTTCA